TGTGCTATAAGAAATGATGAGCAGGCAGACTTCAGAAAAACCTGGAAATACTTGTATGGTTTGATGTTGAGTGAAGTGAGCAGAACCAGGAGAGCGCTGTACACAGTAATAGCCATGCTGTGCGATGACTAATATCGATAGACTTAACCCTTCTCAGCAATACAAGAATCTAAGACATCTCTAAAGGCCTCATGGTAGAAAATGCTATACACATCCAAAGAAAGAACTACGGAGTTTGAATGCAGACTGAAGCATACTGCCTGCTATTTTCTTTCTTCTGTTGTGTTTTCTTTCCTCTTTCTGGTGGTTCCTCCTATTGGTTCTAATTCTTACTTACAACATCACTGATGTGAAAATACATTTAATAGGAATGTATATGTATAGTCTATATCAGATTGCACGCCATCTTGGGGAGGGAGGTAAGGAGGGAAGGGAAGAAAAATTTAAAACTCAAAAGCTTATGGAAGTGATTGTTGATAAATCAAAATACATTAGTAAAAAAAAAGAATGAAAGATGAACAGAGAAGATCTGCAAACAAAAAAGGAAATGCCCAAAGAGCTAATAAGGAATACTTCTTGAATAATAAATAATAACAGCAGGATCTGCAATAGTAGAAAAACCATCTAGAGGTTCCTTACCTGAAAAGTGGAAATAATGCATGCACTGTCTAACTTCAGAAGGCTGTCACGAACAAAAGACTTGATAAGCTCTCTTACCTCTCCCAGCCAGTTTGCAACTCAAAACCCCTCAACATCTTCACCCATCCTTTCCCCCTTTCCTCCAGTATCTGAGGAAGAGGTCATTCTTTTTCTTTACTCTCCAGCACAGCTCCCTCCCCTACCTTCCCAAGACTGGTCCCTTTCTCTCACTGTTAAGTTTTCCTTCTTTATATCTCTTTCCCACCTGTCTGTACAAACATGCTAGTCTATCTCATTCATGAAAAACCTTCCCTTGACCCTGCTATTCCCCAGCTTACCCTTCTTTTAGCCTCTAGTGCCACAATCGCAGAACTATGTGTCCTCACTCTCTCTATTTCCTCACTCTCCAGGCTTTTCTTAATCCACATCTGGAACTGGAAATTTTCTCCAAGGTTACCAATGATCTCTTCCCACTGACATGATGGTTTAACCTCTGGGTCGCTTCCAATACTACTAAGGACCCCCGTCTTCCTTGACATTCTCTTTTACCTTAGGCTTCCATGCTGTTTCTGGCTTTCCTCTTACCTCTGATTGCTAGTTCTTCATCCATCTCCCACCACCTAAGCATTAATGACAGATGGCCAGAGCTCTTTTCCCATTTCCCAACGGTTAAAGTAAATTCTCTACATCTGTAGAAATCCTCTATAGATGATCCCCAAACTATATATTCAGATCTAACCTCTCTTTCTGAACTCCAGTCTGATATTAATTGCTTGCTAAATTCCTCCCCCTACCTATCCTGCAGGATCCAAAGAGAAATCCTGTCACCCTCTAAACTTATCCCTCCCTCCACATCCCTATGTCTGTTGAGGGCACCGATACACTCCCAGCTGACTAGGTTCTTAACTTCAGAGTCACCTCTGGCTGTTCCTCACATATCCAATCAGCTGCTCAGCTTTGGTGATTTTACCCAAACAACATCTCTGGCAACCACCTCTTTTCCTCTATTCATACAGCTACCACTGTGATGTAGAAAGTCTCACCTGAAGTACTGTAACTGCAACCTACCCCCCAATTGTCAACATTTTTCTCCTCTGCCCCCTGAAGTTACTTTGTAATTATTTTTTATCAATCAATAAACATTTATTAAGAACTTACAACTTGAAATGTGCCAGGAACTGTGTTGGGCACCAAGGATACAAAGAAAACTGGCCCTGCCCTCAAAGAGTGTACAGTTTAGTTGAGATTATCTATACAAAGATAGACACAGAGATACAAGACACTAGGGGGAGAGGAGACTAGCAGCTGCGGCGGCGGGGGGGGAGATCGGGAAAAGCCTCAAGTAGAAAGGCTTGGGCCAAGCTTTGAAGTAAACCAAGAATTCTGAGAGACAAAAATGAGGTGGAAGTGCATTTCCAACTTGGGGTACAGTCACTGTAAAGTCATTTAATCAATCAACAAGCACTTACTAAACACTATACAGAAAGCACTGTCCTAAGTACTAAGGATATAAAGAAAGACAAAAACCCAGTCTCTGAATTCAAGGAGCTCACATTCTAATGGGGACAACCATGAAAATAATTAGCTATACACAATGCCTTGTGAGGAACACCTAGAAGACAAGTTTGGCTGGATGATAATATGCATGGGGAGGGGAAAGGGGAGTCATGGAGGGTGTCATGTGCCATAAGACTAAAAAGGTAGCTGTGGCTCAGCTGCAAAGAGATTAAGTACAAACAGAGAAGTTTTTATTTAATTGCTAGAGTTAACAAGGACCCACTGGAGCTAGAGTAGGGGACAGAGAAGCCCATCAGAATACCATTTAGCATTGTTCCCTCCCCAAGCCCAGCCCCCTACTTGAAGGAAAGTGCACGAAAGGAATGGTTCTCACTGGCACCACTATTGCTCTAAGCAAAACTGCCTTCCAGTTTTAATTTGTAAATGTATAGTGGACAGCTGTATGAAGAGGGACTACAAATAGACAGTCCAAGAGCTGCACTGCTGTCTATAAGATAGTAAGAAAGCCATACATTCCTATGTGGCTTCTTTTGGTCCTGTCAGGTCTAACTATGTCATTATCCTACTCAATCAAATCCAGAAGCTCCCTTTTCCCTGTAGGATAAAATACAAACTCCTCTGGCTATAAAAGCCCTTCACAACATGATTCTAACCTTCCTAGTCCTAATGAATACTGCTCACCCTGAGGCACAATGCTGTGTGTGCTAAGGCAAACTGGCCTCCTCTCTGCTCCTCATCCAGGCCACCATCTCCTGTCCCTGTGCCTTTTCATTGGCCATCTCCCCGGCTGAGAATGCCCTCCCAATTTCACCTCTGCCTCTTTGCTTCTCTGGCTACCTTCAGGACTCAACTCAAATCTCATCTTCTCCAACAGGCCCTTCCCATCCCTCCCAATGCTAGTTCATGGTACAAGGTGTTTCCTCACTGCAAGTTCCTATGCCAATGCAATCACAGGGCCAGTTCATTTTTTTAAAAAGCACCCAGAGCTTCATAGGATCAGCAGGCCTGGAAAGAACAAAATCTAAGAAGCAAACTAGATTCTCAAGGGCAAAGAGTTCCAAATTTGACTTTATCACTAACACAACCTCCCCATACCTCAACTATTCCGAGTGCAAAACAGAGAATAACACAAATATACCAGACAGGGCTACTGATAAAGAGAAGAAAAATAATCCAAAGCAGCTTTTGCAAATCCACAACCAAGATCAAAAACCTCTGTAAAGTAAGAATTCCACTTACGTTGTCCCGCTGGTTTCCCCAAACCGTTGGTAGGAGCTCGAGCTGGGGAAGTCATCTAGTCCATTGGAAGGCGACTCAGTCGGGCTCACCTCCGTCGAACTGTAGTCATTATAGCTTTCATTCCGTAGTCGCTGAGTAGACATGGTGGCTAGGGGAACAGGAGCAGGGTTAAGGCCTTCAGCAGCCAGGGCTTTTAACTCTAGCCTCTTGGTTGGCTCTTGGGCAGGAGAAGCCATGGCTGCAGTTCCCAAGAGTGGCCACTATGTATGGATTAAGTACAGCACTGTGGCCTGGCACTATATAAAACTGAGAAGGTACAAAGTACACATGGTTGGGCAAAGCTCACTGCTTTTATATTGTGCTTCCCAACTTTTTATTCTGAGAATATTCATAAATTTCTAAATTTGCCACAACACATTTAGTTAAAAGTAAGAACAGGAATGTTGTCAGACAGGAAGGAAAGAACTTTTCACTGGGGTCCACAGAGAGGTATCAAACTCTTTCCCCACCATATTTCATTTTAAATAGAGGCAACCAGGGACTCCACCCCTCTGAGCATGTAAAGCTTTCTGTTTCCATTAACTCCAGCAATCTTAAGAAGTAATGGCAGATGGCTAATATGGAAATGTTGTGCATGATTTCACAAGTATAACCAATATCAAATTGCTTGCTTTATCAAGGGGGGGGAGTGGAGAGAATCTGGAACTCAAAATTTTAAAGAATAATTGTTAAAAACATTTTTTACCTGTAATTGGAAAATACTTAATGAAATATTTTTTTAAAGAAGAGATGGCAAAAACAGCAAGGAGTCCCAGAAGACTGGAATAGAGAAGCATTACTGCTATTCTCTCTCATTCTTTTTTTTGAGCAGAGGTATTTGTAGAGATAAAGGGGAAGCTCTGTTTTGTGAGGGTGAGGGAACTGGGGAAAAGGGAAAATAATGGTGTCTACTGGAGTTAGGAAGGTAGAAGAGAGGGGAGAAGGTATATGTGACCCTATGTGGTCTGCCTTAGTGATGCTACAAGGGGTGGGGCAGTGAAGGAGGAAGGCAAATTTCTCTGAGGAACAAAGCAAAACCACATCTTGGTAGTCATTGCCCTATATTCCTCCCAAAGGATGGCTTGAAGAACACAGGGGAGGTCACTGAAGCATCTGAATGGAAACAACTGCCTTACCAGGCTTCCCGAAGCATGTAATAAGGCTCTGCCTGATAAGATTCTATATGGTCTCAGAGATCTAATGAAGAGACAGGACTCACTGACTCCTAGCTTCTTACCCATTCATGTACCTTCCACCCTCTCAACTGCATCCAACACCAGCTGCTGAAGGGAAAAGTCTACCATTCAGTCAGGAAGCCATAGCTGCAGTATCATGTTTAATTCCATGGGCTACATATTAGGAGGAACAAGTTGAGAAATGTTCGGAGGAAGATGACTATGACAGTGAAAGGAAATAAAAATCCACACCACATGAAGATTGGTTGAAAAGACTTAGGCAGGTTAAGAAAATGGAGAAGAAAATATTTAGGAAGTGAATGAGCTCTTTCTTCAAGTATCTGAACGGCTACTCTTTGTGTTTCGGCTATTGAGACAGGGAGCTTATGAAACCTGAAGATAAGGTTTTGTTAGAGATTCCAGAAGAGATAACATAATGTCATGCTAGCCCACTGATGCCATCTGCAAGACAACAAGGTTCTCAAAGAGATGGAGATACGTAAAAGATACTTATCAAGTGAGAGGCTGAATTTTTGATTGCACAGATGGATTTTATCAGCAACATTTTATCAATTATAAGCATCCCAGGCTTCTTGAGTTTGACAAACACTGATATGGTTTCAAGGTTATGGAGGGCTCATTTACTGTTTTATTCTCTTCCAAATTTAGTACACTAAACGAAGTCAACTGTGATCATAAGAATAGAGAAAAGAAACCTATCTGTAAGTCATTTAAGACTAACAAAAAAAAAAAGAGAGGTGTGAATACACACCCTTCCCTCATCCCCAGCAAGAGTCATAATGGCCAGTTTGAGGACAGTACTTACAACATTAAGAATACGACCTTTAAGATTATTATTATAATTATAATACCGATTAAGATATTATCTTAATTAGAATTATAATACCGATTATATTATAAATATAATACCGATTAAGAATACTATTTAACTACATCTGAATAGACCATGATTCTAGCTTGTTCAGAACTCATTAGGAACACTTTTTCTTCAAAGCTATAGATATCCTATGGATGAGGCACTGCTACAAGAAGATCTATGGGACTTACAACTCAGATGGCTACCTGAGAAGGTACACTGCCCAGTTCCCAAATATCTTACTCTAGCAAAAAGTCAAAATTGGCACTAGACCAAATAATAATCAAGAAATCCACAGTAAGTACCTTATTTTATCCCAGAACTGCACAAAAAAGGCAGCCAGAAGGCCATGGGCATCAGGAAAGGGAGCCTCCAACAAATGTAAACAAGCAACCAAAGACAGGTCAGAAACATGTGTAGTCCGTAGGGCTCTCTGTCAACAAGAGTGGTGGGCCCTCCTACCCCAGAAGAAAAAATGACAAACCTTATCTAAGTAACAGATACCCTGGAAACTAGGATAAATCAAACAGATATCAATGACTCCCATTACACACTAAATCTTTAACATAACTGTCATCCCTTTAGGGATCTATAAACAGAAAATGTGGATTCTAAAATGTTAGAGCCAGAAGGAGTTGCCCCAGGTCTAGTCAATTCATTGATCTCCAGGAAAGACTGTTTCAGGCCCATGCCAGGCAGAGGGCATCTTTGTTATTCATATAGCTCTTCAAACACTCCAGTTTAGTTCATCGGACGTTTATTAATTGCCTGTTACGTGCAAAGCCCTCTACTAAGTTGGAACACACGGAATGATTAGATAAAACATCACCCCTTCTTTCAAGAAAGTTATTATATCCTAGAGATTCCTTAAATTCCTTCAATGCTTTGTTTTGCAGGCTCATAACCCAGGGTGGATGTGTTATGCACCTTGGGAAATCTAAGGGAATAGAAGAAATCAGTGTGGCATGGCAGCACCTAGACCAGGACGGCACAAAGGCCTTCAGGTTCTGAGGTTATTAGTATTCTTACCTGAAACACCCTGAAGGGCCCTGATGTTGTAGCACTCTGATCCTCTAAAATACAAGGGGATATAACCCCCTTGCACAGGAATCCAAAACTAGAGAAAGATGCAGAGCCTGGCCCCAACACAAAGCCTGAGTTTAGGAACTAAGGCTGGAGAGATAAAATCAACCAAAGAAGATGCCAATCAACATCAAAAATTATTGTAGATCTAGAGATCCTCTAAAAGATGAAGAGTTAATTAGCTCCACAACAACTATAGGTAGAGGCTCAAAGGAAAAAATGAATTTTCCACAAGAAACTACATGAAAACATAGAAGAAATTAAGCAAGAGACAAAAATTAAATAAAAGCTCTTAAGGAAAGAGTTAAAAAAAATAAACAGCTGGGAGAAAATACAATGAACCCCCAAATAAGAGATTCTCTGAAAACTAGAATATTAGAACAAAATCGAAAGAAAAACACAGAAGAAAATATACGATATCAGCTGTTCAAAAAAAAAAACCACACACACCTAAAAAACAGGTCAAGGAGAGAAAATTTAAATATCACTGAATTCCATAAACATCATGACTTTTTTTTTAAAAAAAAGCCTGAACATTATGTTTCAAGAAATCATAAATGAAAAATGCCAAAATGTAGCAGAACCAGAAGAAGAGGTGACGATAGAAAGAATCCACCAATCATCCCTTTGAAAGAAACCAAAAGGAAAAGTCCCAGAAATGCCATAGGCAACATTCAAAGCTCCCACATCAAAGAAACAATACTGCAAGGATCCAGAGGGAAGGAGTTCAAATACAAGGAACCATAGTTAGGATCACCCAAGTCCTAGCAGATTCTACAGTAAATGGAGAAAATGTCATTATGAAATATTTGAAAATGCAAGACTTATAAGGTAACAACCAAGAGTGACTTACCCTGAAAGGCTGAGCATAATCCTACAGAGAGGAAAAAAGACCAATATATTTAATTGAATAGAAGTCTTTCAAACATTTCTGTTGAATAATCAGAGCTGAGTAAGAACTCTGAAATGCAAAAACAAGAGTCAAGAGAAATCTAGAAAATTAAATTTATTTGAGCAATTGGAAGGCGCTGCATGATGACGTGATGCTAACATTCTAATAGGGGAGAAGAAACAATTGTCCCACAGAGGACTTGGGCATGGACTGGCTCCGTTCTGTGGGTTTGAAGAAAAGAAAGAGAAGGGAAGATAAAAGGAGGAATCCACCAATGTAAAAAAGAGGAAGAAGTATGAAGGATGAAGGAAGAAGGAGGAAAAACAGGCTACTTCTCACAGTTGGGTACAGGGAATATACAAATATGGACGAAAGGGGTAAGCAGGCATCAGATAAACCTCACTCTCGTCTGAAATAGACAAAGGACAGCAGAACACGCACAGTTTGTATAGAAATACATAAAACTCAAAAGATAAACAAGTGAGGTTGGAGAGAAGGGTGTGTGTGGGTGTGGGGTGGGATGGGTGGAAGCAGAAGGATAATGCCAGGGAAAGAACAGTGGCAAGAAAAACACATTTCCTAATTTTTGGAGAGAGGAAGGAAGGGGAAAAAAGAGGAGGGAAGGGAGTGAAAGGAAGAGAGGGGAGGGAAGAATTAGAATCTGAGAAGGTATCCATCAATTAGGAAACAGGTGAACAAACTGTGATATATGAATATAATTGATGCACTATTACTGCCCCACAAAGATGATGAGACAATTTCAGAGAACCCTTGGCAGCATGAATTAACGCAGAGTAAAGTGAAGCTAAACTGGGAGAACAATTTATACAAGGATAACGCTCTATACAAAAAAACAATTTTAAAGACTTAAGAACTCAGATAGATATAGTGACTTACCATGTCTACACTCCGCAGAGTGTACCTATGAGGACACATGTTATTCACTTCCTGACAGGATGGATTCAAGGCACAAAAACAAACATACAAAGAGACATACATGGCCACTGTGTGGATTCATTTTGCTTTATTACGCTTATTTATTATAAGGGTCCCCCCCTTTCATTTCTCTCATTTTTTTAAGA